ATCTTTGACTCCAACTGTCGGTCGCCGAGGCCTTTGAAATTGATGAGGCCTTTGTGTTTGTTGTTTTGGCAAATGAGGCGCAGATAAGCGTCAACTTTGACGCCCTCTTGAGCATATTTTTTGTCCATTCCCCTCGCACCACCACCCGATCTCTCCCTTTCCTATTCTCTGTTTCTTTTTCAGTTTCGGTTTCGTTTTCCCTTTCTCGTTTTTCGAGCTGCTTTGCTTATCATCGAAGCTGTTGCGTTGCGTCTTCTTCGACAAACAAGAAAAAAAAACCAGAACAAAAACACATTTTCGAGCTTGGGTTCGGTTCGTTCTTTTGGTTTATTTTTGTTGTTGTGTGTCTCTAGCGCGCCTCATTTGAACCCGCCGAACCCTGTTCCATTCTTTTTTTTTCCATTTTTTCTTTGGGTTTGGTTTTTTTGCTTTTTGTTTTTTGCATGATTTTTTTTTTTGTATTGTGCGTGACATATTTGTGTGAGCATTTCATTTGACTCTTCACTTGTCCCCTTTTGGGGGCTAACCATTTGTCTGGCTGAATGCTTGACTCGGATTTGTCTGTGGCACTCTGCTTGGGCTCCAAATGGCAATGGGGTATGGCAGATTGACGGTGAAGGATAGGCTGGACTGGAGTGCCTTAAGAGAGTGCTATGGTTTATCATTTAGGGGAATCAATGAGCTGCGGATAAGGAGAGGACAGTTAGAAGACAAAAAAAATGTTGGGAGGACTATGGAAGCAAGGGAAAAAGAAATTGTGTGCGTAAGATAATGAATTTAGGATTGAAGTATGAACAGCAATTGAAAAAATAAATTGAATAAACCATGGAGAGCTTCGGATATGATTAGTCCGATTTCCTTGTGTAACGTTTTGGGCAAATATTATACAAAATTATTTGTTGAATTCTCAAGACCCGGAAAATGTTGGGAAAATCTCTTCCCCATTGATATAGAAGCTAATTTGGCACAGAGTATATGATATTCGGTTTCATAGGGCTCTCTCAACACTTCATATTGTGTAGACTGCACTCAGCACGCTAAAGCGACGGCAAGTCAGAGAGAAGGAGAGAGAGAGAGAGACAATGACTGAGAGAAGAATCATCATGGAATCATCTTTCATCGTTCTCATCGCAGCCTGCACTGATTCTCGTGCAAATCCCCCAATGAATAGCAAGTTGCAAACTGCATTTGAATTGCAAACCCCAAAGCCAGCCACCACCAACCACATCCCTACTCTCAAGCAGCCACAACCATGCTCTCCACCAACAGCCAACCACTACCCACATTAGTTTAGCATATGTTTTACATAACTGGAGAGTCGGAAGCAGAGGGACAGAGTCTGGGACTGGGAGTGAGTCTATTCCCCAAAGCTGAACTGAATCCTCGGCTTATGCTCCACTTTGTCTGACTGAAACTTTCGTTTTTCGTATATTTCTGCTTTTGTTTTTTTTTTTTTTTCATTCTTATACATAGATGTTTTTGTTTATAGCTGACAGCACACTTCCTGTCCTATCGCTAATCCATGCCGCCGTGAGACATCTTTCATGCCGGCAAAAGAATTCTAGTTTCGTTTTGTTTCTGTGAAATCAAAGATTGAAATGAAACCAACAGCAACAGTAAGAAATGTACGCAGCACAAAAATAAAATTTATTGAAATGGCAAAAGGAAGACCTTGATCTTTAGATTATCACATCAATAAATGGTATTTTGTTGTATTCCATTTTATATTTCTTTCTTTGTCGCTGCTGCTCTTTCAGTTTCAGTTTCAGTTTCAGCGGCATCTTCAGCATGATCGTTGAGCTTGAGGTCTTCTTGTTGTTCTTGTTCTTTGAAAACTAAAACTGAAGCCGAAACGGAAACTGGTGGAACCAGTCGAACAGCCACAAAACAAAAACCGACCAAACCTCACCAAAAAGAACTTCTTCTTTGGCTAATTAAGAGTTTTTGGTTAGCGCCGGCTTCCAGTTATATACAAAACACTTCTGTACGAGTATAGGAACAGATATCTTAAATCACAGATCTTGGAACATTAATTTAAATGCAACTCTATTAGGAGGAGAGTCATTCTGCATGAAGTCACTCGATAGGGGCTCGCATGTGCGACTATTCCACAAATGACGCTTACGTGATTACATAAATGGCCATAAAAAGTGATTTGAACTTGAAATTGCTAAATGCGTCATGCAATTGAAACAACTACACGCGTACTACTCGACTACAGCAGCCACACAAGAAAACAACGAAAACAAAAAGCCAACTAGAGAAAATCACTGAAAATCGGTGGAAATAAAAACGTACTAGCCATAAAATTGTTACAATGACGACAAAAAACAGCAAAAACATCGGCTCAAAGCAGAGCGCATTTAGCCAGTAGATCAAATTGAATGCTCGTAACAGCCTTCGCCACAGCAGCAGAACAACAAAATTGTATGTACAACAACCAAACGCGAAACTGGCTCACAAGAAGATCAGCAAAAAGCAGGAACAGTCAAAAAGAGAGCTTCAATTAGGCTTTTGTCTGTATATCTATTGTATGTAGTATAGTATGTATGTATATCGGTATATATTGCACATGCATATATGTATTTTAACATCTCTTTTCTGTCACTGCCATTGCTGTTTCTCTTAGTAGTCTGTTAAACAGTGAATACGTACAGACGTACTGCAGTTGTTGTAACAGTTGATGCTCTCAAAATAATATCATATTGGTGCTGTGGGCTTGTCAAGTGCCAATTCGGCTACATGTTTCCTTGTCTCCATTCCAGTCATTGAATATATTTTAATATGTGCAATATAATTTTTACAAATAAAAGACGAGAAGGAACGTGTGAGTTGCTTCAGTGGACGCGACTCTACTTTTATACCCGTACTCAGTCAGTATATATATTTGTGAGCTTATAATCTATGCAGAATTTTGAAATATTTTACACGTTACATTTTTTTGCTACATCTGTTATCTACATCTCAATATACAACGTCGATTACACATCTAAAATGTAGATTATAAATGCAAATGTAGATTCTACATTGAAATACACTTGTTGCAGTGTGATATCACTTGAGTCTGGAAACAAAATTTGTTTGCTCTAGCTCTTATAGTCTCTGAGATCTAAACGCTCATCAAGACGGTCGGACAGACGGACGGACAGACACACATGACTATATCGACTGGGCTATTGATGCTGATCAAGAATATATATACTTTGCGGGGTCGGAAACGTTTCCCTCTCTGCGTTGCACACATCCACTTTTGCCACAAATCTAATATACCCCTTTACTCTTCGAACAAGGGTATAAAAAGACTAAAAAGGACAAAGATATCGAATCAGGAACTTGATCAGCTTAGTCGGTCCCCCGAGTCCAACAAAAATATACACAGTCTTGGACAGAAAAATTTGTTTGTGGAAGGAGTGTCAGCTGCTTCTGAAATAATTGTTGCTGTTTTGGTTACTGCTGTGACTTGTGATGTTGACGTTCTTGTTGCTGTTGCCCTTGAAATTGTTGCTGCAGATTTTGCTGTTGTAGATTCTGATGTTGTTACAGTTTATGCGATAATTTTTGATGTTGCTGCTGCTCTTGCTTGGTGCGCCACTGCTATTGCGAGTCTACAGTCGCTGAAGATGTTGATAATTATGAACATCTATTATTCTCAGAGTTACTGCTGCAGATATTCCTACTGTTATCAGATATGGCTTGAATAAATATCAATAGGAATATCTTACGTATGAGTATTCAATGTATCAGGGGTTCCGTTTCTGTGCAGAACCCCCCGTCCAATGGCACAAGATTGCTTGCAAGCAAGCATTGAAAAGTCTCACATGTGATTTATACTCGAATAAAACTATTGTAAACTCAGGCAGATGGAAAACATCTTTGGAATACATTACATTACTCACCTGCCTCAGGCAAATGGAAGACTTGTTCTTGCTGGCAATCTGATAACAAGCTTATGTCAGCTTCCAATCTGACTAATACGGCGAGATGGAGGGAGGGGGAAGCCAAGACAAATCCGACAACATTGTCAAACAAGATGCATATCTCGAGAACGTGCAGCTGAGATTTACACCCAGACAAACCTCTTTACCCCATAAACATACTCGTATGCATCTAAGCTGATTTTGTCATGGCTGCCTGGGCGAATAAAAATACTCGAGAAGAAAATGTTCTATGATTTTCGCCACAATATTTCCAGGACTAGTATTTACCGAAGCTCCCCCTAATGGCATCAAATGGAATTTGACTGGAGGTTAAGTGAGAGCGATGGTAGGTCCCTTAGTGACAAATACATTAGCAGCAAAATATGACCAGTCCAGCAAAATGCAAATTTCGATTCGAAAATTGGATTGAATTGGCTGCGGATGGTAGTTCTGATAAGGATTTGAGTTTGTTCCGGGGCCCAGATGCTGCCGGAAGCGGAATTCTGATGTCCTGTGGACCCGAAATTCGCATGACAATGACAATTATCTCAGGGCCAGTGACTATTATCCTCCGTTTCCCTTCCCATACGATACGCCCACACAATGAGGGGGATAATTGTGAGTTACGCATAGGCCAAGTGTGCCCGGGTATGGGTTTGATTTTATTGCCAACCCCACAGACAAAGCCAATTTGTGCGTGGCCGAAGCAATTTGGCCAACGGGAAGCCGCACAACAACACAGACAAAAAAATTGCTAGAATTGGGGGAAAATGTGAAAATGAAAATGCCCAAAAAGGCATGGGAGGCGCCCCATGGAATCTTCTTAGGGTTCGGGTCGGTCCCACAGAAAATTGAATTGAAGCATCGCCATAGCCAGCAGAAGCATCAATTCAATGCAAGGGGTCTCTCTCTCTCTCTCTGCACCCACCCTACATATGTGTCCCATCTTATGTATAGAGAAGATGCTTCCTCTTGGAACCCAAGGGCTAGGGACAAGTGGCATTCGGAAGTGGGAGTAGAAGTGGCAATGGGCAATGGGCAGCGGCAGCGGCAGGCACACGAGTATGCAATCAGTCGAGTGAAACTGTCGCTGGTAATTGATTTTAGTGGGCCTGCCCAAAATCTAATTAAGTTATACGATTTCCCTCACATCATTCCCCGATCCATGCCACCCATTTATTATGTTGTAACAATTAGCGACAGTTATGCAATTAATTCATGCTGTCATCGACATCGTTATCGTCGTCATCTTCAATGAGCATTCCATCGATTGTATGGGGCCAAATATCGGTAGTGCCGTCTTCTGTCGTGATTTGACCTTATGAACCATTCAAAGCAGTAGGCTTTGTGCTGTAGCCACACAAGAATATTTACGTCTATGTGGAATCTCGTCAGAGTCCCTTTTATAGTCCTAATGACTAACTGTGTTGGTGATGAATTGCGGGTAAGTACCCGTATGGTAACTGTGAAGCAAAAAATGGATATTAATGCAGATATGTATTAGAGATCGACAGGGAAATGATCAACAAGAAGACCAACGTTACTTACTATCAAATCTTCTTTTCTTTTTATTGGGAATGCAGTAAAACAGTACGGCAAAATTAATATAGTCCGTGGTCAAGATGATGTTGGTGAAATTGTCTGAAAATCGTCGAAGGTATTATTGGTCTTCAATGGCGGGCTCATACACTCACAATTAGAAGCATCGTAGGAGCTGCATTCCAGCCGAAATAAAGGGTGGGCCATTGGAGTCGTGGCGTAGGCATACCAAAATCCCAATATCTATATCCAAATTTTAAATTCTATTTGTACCAAAGAAAATTTCGGCCATTATTTTGAGGGATATTCGGACATACCTTTGGTACATCGATTGGATTTGTGAATGCCACTTTGGGGCATCGTTTCACATGTCGCAGATGTGCGTACTTGTACTGCTCTGCCTTGATTAAGAATGAACTGCGTTTCTTGATTTTAGCTACATTCTTTCGCGTTACTGCGGATCGGTTTGCCTCTGCTTTCTGGGGAATCTTTGGTGATGCAGTACTCCAGCTAACATCTTCTGATATTGTAGTTTTGTTGATCGTCGATATAGTTATAGGTGCAGGAACAATGGATGCAGCAGCTGTGATGTCGGTGGATATACTCGTATTTCCGTCCGTTTCCAATTGTCTGTTATTTAATTCTCCATTAATGAGTGGATATACCACAACCATCACCAGGAGTCTGTTAGAGTAATACGACTCTAGAAAATATTTTAGCAAACTCTTGTAAGTAGATCTTACACTCGGTGTCCAGCCATTTCGAATTGTTTCCAGCTTAAGTCGGACCCATAAGAGAGTCTTTTGCTTTCTTGATCATTTGTGTGGTTATCAAATGGATTCGTTTCGGCTTTCAAGCCGTCAACGTCTCGGATATTCAATAATTGTCAAAGCATTACGTGCCGCATTCTACCAAAGTTAACTTTTTTATATTATATATATTTTTTATTGCATAACCAATGACGCTGCAACGTTGCCGTTGCTGTTTCTGTTATTTTTTTGTTACTGTTGTTGATTTTGTATTCACATATTTTCGAACAGGGAAACGTGCAACGGAATCGGAAATGGGGCACGGACATTTGCAATTACATTCGACAGGGTCTCTGTGTCTGGTGTCTGTCATTGTTAATGCCATTTATGTTCGTGTGATTCACAGCTGCTGATCTGATTACGAGTATGTCATCTTCATTTGATTCACCGATTCGACAAGGTTCCGACATGTGCTTAACCACAAAGCTTAATCACGATTTAACCAATTGTTTTTGTAGCAAGAATAATGCCATGGCAGGGAGTCACATCTACTATTATAAGCATTGTCCTATTGCCTATCCTATTTCCGATATATTTAAAGTAAATCACCAATTTGTTTTTTTTTTTTTCATTTGCTTTTCTCCTGTGTTAAATTCGAATTAATTTTCATTGGGGTAAAGTGTTTGCCTTCAAACAATGTTCACGCGCTTAAAAGCATTAAACTATATAATTTATTTATTTTCAATTAAATTCTAAGCAGATTTTTAGCTCCATCTACTGCGTCCTTTCTTTCGGACGGACTTGAAATTTCTCTTGATTTTGGGTTTAGGAAATGCCTTTTATTTTTGGTAAATTTTGCGCAACAATTATGTGAGCCAACGAACTTTGTCCGGGGTATCCTCGGAATACCCGCTGAGAGGGCCATGGCTCAGTGCCGGGTCTGGCCTTTCCTTCACTCGATGGCAGCTCCCGACAACGTCAAATGATTTATTCAATTTGTGCCATGAAGCGTAAACTTTTTGTTTGGCTTGTTGGCCTCGTTGTCTGGCGCTTGTTGCTCCTCTCCTCCATCGCTTGTTGGGGCTGCGGAAGTTGGCTGTGTGAATCAATCCCCCATCACAGGACATAGAACCTTCCCAGCAGCACCAATTTAAATAGTTTTTCCACATGACAATGGACCAGGCTGTATTTCGCTGCTGCATATCTCTGGACAACAAAGCCGGACAAAAGGTCAAACTGGATTTGAATATTTAACTTGATTTTATGTGTGTGCGGTGCGCTACATGTTGCGGTTAATAAAGATGAGATAGATAGGATTGAAACACACAGAACAATTGTTTGATACTCGGGCGTTAGCTATGGGTAAGTAACTACGAGTATAATAAAATATTTCGTTAAATAAGATTGTTTAGAATATTTTTGGATCAAATTAAAACTATTATCATACTATTTTACATTTTATACATTATTCTGTATTCTTATTGGTTTGGTATTGGACTTTATAGCGAACGTGGCCCTTTTACATAATAAAAAACAGTCAGATGCTTGCTAAGTTTTCTTTCAGTGTAGAAAAGCGTTAAGTGCCCTCCATCAGGAGTGACTCCATTGCCACTTGAATGAAATCAACTTTTCACTGCTTTTTGTTCTATGAGTTGTGTGATATAATTTCCATTTTGTTTGCTACCAATTTATTGCCAATTATAATTACAACTGTTTGGGTTGTTCTGCCAGATAAAATGCTCAAAATTATTGCACTTTTCAGCTTCATTTGTTTACGACTGCTTTTCACTCTCTTTCATGCTGTGTTCCTCTTCATCCGCCAATATTTAACGACTGTTGGTGAAAAAAGTTTTCTTTTTACAACGATATTAAGTTAATTACTTTTGCTGGTGCCCATCTGGATGGTTGGAGTGGAGTGTGTCTTGAGATATTTGGAACTTGGTCGGGTGTTTATGGAATGCCTGCGGACTCATAATTAATAAGCATTTAGTTGGACACACCTCGAACACAGGTCGCACAGTTGGGGTCTGGTCTTCAATGATGTTGTCAAGAAGCGTGAGCTGTAAAAAAGTGTATTTCATATTTGATTTTTATGATGCATTTCGCACGCCTCCCCATTGAAGGGCGAACGTGCCTGCCAGCCACTCGATGATGATTTCACCAGCCATCCAGCGAAGTCCAAAGCTAAGCGACAGTGAAGAGGAGAAAACGCTGTTTGGGGCTGACTCAACCGATGAGGAAGACTCTTGAGGAAGGTGCCAAAGTGAAATCATAACTTATCAAAAGTCTGTAATTAGCTGAAATATAAGTGCCGGAATACCGCTACGGATGGGTTATGGGCAGTTGTTGTGCGTATTGGGAGTAAATGAGTTAATTTGATGATAAGATAAGATCGGATAAGATGGATCATAAAATTGGATCAGCAAAGAGCACCAATTATGGTTATATGGGGTGTGATATGAATGAGATCAGATCAGAGAAATCTGGAAAGTGTAACTTAAGTCAAAAATATACAAAATCCTTCGAACGGAACAGACTATGCCCAAAAACAAGTGCACAACTTTTCAAGGGATTAATCAATGAGCATTTCTAATTTAAAAAAAAAAATATTTAATATTGACGTATATAATATAGAATCAATAAAACCACGAAGCATGGGAGAGTGGGAGTGCATGGGAGCACTCTTTATACACAATGTTCATGCAAGGACACAATTTTTAATAGCTGGATACAAGATGCAAGTGAATAGGGTCTTCCTCAAGGTGCTCATAAAATTAATTACAAATAAAATACATGTTTAATTGACGCATTTCTGTCCACAAATATCCTATCTTAAAATAGCGCAATTCTCCCCCTACAAAAAAATATGTAACATACAGACCACCTAGTGAAGCAGACAACTTGTGTCCACTTCTGGAGAGTAGCGCCTGTCAAAGTATCGCAAAATGTGTTGCTCATATAAATTTCATTTATGCCAGTTAAATTAATTACTGTCAACACATGCGAGGCGGCAGTGGCACCAGCAGCAGCAGCAGCAGCAACCGGAGAGGCAGCCACAGCAAAAACAATTGCCAATCAGCCACAAAAACTAAAGCAGGCCAAGCCAAAAGTCCAACAACGAAGACGCAACTCGGTGGAGAGTACCAGTGGTGGCAGTGGCAGTGCCAGCGCGAGGGTCTCGAGGCTCGAGAGTCCGAGCGTGTTGCGAACATAAACACAAAGTCATAAAGTTTTTACACAAAAACATTTAATTTTATTGCATTTTTGGGCAGCAGCCAGACCCGAGAAGAGCAGTGCAGAGCAGACCAGAGACCAGGCAGCCCATACCCGAACCCCGGCCAGACGACGGCACTGAAACAATGCACCAAAAAGAAGGGTGTGAGGGGGGACAGGCAGGCGGACAGTGTAGGGGGAGTGCTGATGGTCGAGCATGGTCTGCTGACCAGGCCAACTTAATTTGCCGCAAATCGAGCAAAACTGCAGCCAAACAGAAGCGAACGAACAGAAGCAAACGCACACACACAGAATTTTTGGCTGACCGGGAACATTTTTCAAAAATATCATAAAACAAGAAAAGATAAAGTAAGAACACCATAGTAAATTGTCTGACTACGGAATACTTCATATTCAAATACTTGTTGGAATGAAATTGTTAATGTAATGCAATTAGAATGAGAGGAAGTGTTGGACTTAATTAATATGGGATACAAATCCAGATGACATTCGGCAGTGATCTATGTTTTCGTACGGACGATCATTGTATCTTGATATTTGATAGTCATCAATCAGAAAAAGTTTATAAAGCTTAAAACTTTTCGTTCAGCCAAACGACTCGCCACACGACTACAGGGTATATAGCCAGAATAAAAGAACGCAAATCTAGAGCAAAAGTTTTTGATTATGCTGCTACTGACGGCCGCGGCTGGGTGTTGGCTGCTGGCTGCTGGCTGACTCAATGGGTAGGACAGATGGATGGCTGACGTTCGTTCTCCTTATTCCCACACGGCTCGTGTGAATGCGCGGCTGACGTCAGCATCATTTGGAACAGCAGTACCACCGAAAACACAATGTCGACATGCATCTGCAATTTGTTTAGACAACTTCTTGTCTTGGGATTCTCGCTCTTCCTCGCACTCCCTCGCTCTCTGTCTCTGCGAGTATCTGTGCTTTTTGAAATGGGAAACCGAGAATCAACGTAGCGCAGAGCAAAAAAAAGAAAAATATGCCAAGCAAAGTTCTTTTCAGTCTGGAGGCAGAGCAAACCTCCTTTCTTGTGCCCCATCCCCCAAATTTTTTGGCATACGCCTAAAGTGCAGCATTAAAATAAGAATTATGCGGTAGATGGCACAAAATGCAGACCGCAAAACGGAAAATGCAAAATCCCAGAATTTAGAATGCAGCATGCACAGCTTCGTAGTGATTTGTAAGAGAAAAGCGAGCAATAAATGCATCCAGCGTTCGTATACGTAATGTCCATTAACATCAACAAGTGTGGGGGAAAATTTCGTGGATTTGCTGTCGGTCTTTTCGGGGGTTACATATGTGGGATCCCAGGGGTCTCTGGGGTCCAAGGGTGCCGATAAATTGTTCTCGCTGCAAATATGGAAGAATGCCAACAACATTTTTGGTTGATGGCATTTTTGAAAATGATTTTCAATGCAGGGCCTTCAAACGCCACAAAATGTTTATATTGATGATGATGATGATGATGGTCGTAAATGGAAAGTGGCGCAACAGAAGGAGGGGGATGACTGCGGTCCATCCTGTTTGGTTAACACTCACGTTTGGCTTGCTAATAGGGTATATAAAAGGGAGTTCGACTTGAGCTCTTAAGTAGGCTCTGTGTGGAGTCGAATAGGTCGCGGTGGTTTAAGTGGAAGTGGAGTAGAGTTGTCAGGGTTACAGTTGGTACAGATTGAACACAGATTTTTTGAAGGTAGAACTTACAATGCAGATAATGGGGTCAGGATGAACTTAATAAGTAATGATTGACAGCAATAAGTATATATGGTGTGATGTGGCTAACTGCTGATGTACCCCTAATATATAATTCCAACCATAAGGTTCAGTGATTTATAAGTTTCACATATTAATCGA